ATGTATATATTCTTAGGATCATCAAAGAGGCATGCATGTAAGTAACAAATACCTGATTATGTACAAAGCCTTACAGGGTCATAATCCAAAAATAAATGTGTTTTTTATAGTATTTCCTTTCAGTTAATTATTAGGGATAACCCTGAGCCAATATTTTGGAATAAGTCTAAGGATTGAAACACTGAAATTCTCATAGTTTCTAGGATCTTTTTCTAGATTTATGAACAAAGTATTCAAATATGTTGATTTTTCTTCATTTAGACCATAGTTACAAATGAATTCTATGTCATTTTATTGTTTAGCTGAAATTAGTACTATATAGAGATCAAATTATTCATTTAACAAATATTTAATGACTACTGTAACCTAAATCACTAATACTCAAAACAAATACCATCTTTCAATGTAATTGAATAATCAACTGTTTTAAAATTTCATTTCTAAACTCAAGAGCCTGCTGTTATGAAAATCCCCCCATCTCACCAGTGGGAGTATGCTTATTCTACTCTCCTTTGACTCACTAGAAATCATTTCTGTGAACTATAAAATAATACAGTCTGCCTCTATACAATGTTAGAGGCAGAAAATCAGTGCATCAAAAGGCAAATGCTAAAAGAATAAGGGGGAGAATAACTAGAAATCAAGCTTGGGCCAGGCAAAAGGGGTAGGAACCAGATATGGTATATTTGTCATGCATTAAGCCAAAGGGAGCCTTTCTTCAAAACTGATTCAGTTCTTGGCAGCAGCAGCTGGCTTTTTGTTGTGCTAAGTGACAACGATGATGATGATGACGACGATGATAAGATGATGATAAAATACCCAGTAAGTGGTAAGGAATGACAGTTCTAAATTAATGCCTTGCACAATAATTCTGCGAAAAGATAGTTAAGCAAAAGAAAACAAACAGAGCATATCTAAGCATGTCAAGTAATTTTACTTTTTGTTGCTTAGTTTTCACAACATATTTCACTGCCATTCTTAAGTGAGCAAACAGGTTTTCAGACCAAGGAAAGATAACTCATACCCTATGTTTCTTCAACTGACATAATTCACATTTGTTATTTACTCCAAAGCCATGGAGCAAAGACAAGTTTCATGTTGATTCAAAAACAGTCCTGTCTTCTGACAACCCCTCATGGGTATCAATTAGATCCATCTGTGTCTAGAAGTTTAGCAAGGCAGACCACTACTCATTAGAAGTAAGACTAGAGAGACTATTTTATTTCACACAAAGTAGCACTTGTCAGATACTAGCTCCTATGACATAAAAATTAAAAAAAAATTAGAAAATATTTATAGCAGGAGAATTTCCTTTCCTATGTAATGTTCCTTTGTTCCACACACCAAAGTCTTACTCTCAACAATTTTCTTGGATTTGAAACTGTCTACCTTTACCTAATGATATTTTCTACTTAAGGACTTTTTGATTTGGGGGCAGTTTAAATTGCATTAAAATGATATTTTTGTTAATATTTTGACTGCATCATTCTTTTGTCAGTCTTCAAAATAGAGTATGCAATAAATTAAACAACTTAGTATAGTCCCAGACATGGATTTCTACTATGTACTTAAATTCTCATTTGTTGAGAATTTAATTAATTCTAACTCGTAGAGAGTTTCAATTAATATTTATTATCTCTTTATTATTTTTGTTACAACCTCAACATTTCTTCAATAATTGTTCATATTCTTCAAAAAAACTGTAAATCTATTCATCAGGCATTTTCCACTTTCATAATTATCAACATCACATGCAGGTGCTTCAGAAAGAAGACTCATGAATGATGACAGGTTAATAGATAACGACCTTATATATGTATGTGTATGTCAAAAGTGTGGAGCCCTCAGGGTAAAATTAGTGCCCTTATAAAAGGGACCCCGAGAGTTCTCTTTCTGCCATTTGTAAATACAAGAAGATGATCTTCTTCTAAATAGGAAGCAGGCCCTCACCATATAGTGGATCTACTGGCACCTAGAGCTTCCCAGTGTTCAGAACTTAAAGACATAATTGTTTGTTTCTTAAGCCACCAAGTCTAGATGATACTTTGTTATGGCAGCCTGAACTAAGAGAGAAATTGGTACCCTGTAGTAGAGGTGCAGCTATAACAAATACCTAAACTTGCAAAAGAGGCTTTAGAACTGGGTAATGGGTAAAGGCTGGAAGAGTTTTGAGATGCTATAAATATGAACATCCAGGGCTAAAGTGATGAGGAATCAGAACCAAAAGAAAACTATGCAAAAGATTCTGCTTTCTTAGAAAGTATCTATTCATACATAATCATGAACAGAATGTTGGTGGAAATATGGATTGTAAAAGTCATTTTGAAGAAGTCTCAGAGAAATGAAGACATGTTATGGGAAACTGGAGGAAAGGCAATTCTTGTAATAAAGTGGCAAAGAATTTGGGTGAATAATGTTCCTATTCTAGTATTTTGTGGAAGGTAGAACTTTTGAGGGATGAAATTGAATATTTAACTGAGGAGATTTTTAAGCAACGTGTTCAAGGGGTAACTTGGTTTCTTCTGACTGTTTATAATAAAATGTGAGACAAGAGAAATTGAAGATAGAATTTTTAAGAAAAAAATGAACCAGAACTCTAATACTTGGAAATATCTCAGCCTGTCCAATTTATAAAAATGAGAAAGTATGTTTAGAAGAGTACACTAAGGGTTGGCCAACAGATTATTTGATAACGAGATTAGTATGGGTGTGAATTACAGACTTTATCCACTATGTCAACAACAGCCAGGAATAGAGATGAGATTATAACAGCAGAAACACTAAAGGAAACAGAGAAATTGGTAAAAATGAAGGAGGACTGCCAAACTTCTTAAAAATTATAGGATCGGTCTGTAGAGCACTTCAGCTGTGAACGTGTGCTATTCTTAGAGTTAAGGGAAGAACAACCCCTAAAGTGATTCAATATCATCAGGCCCAGATGCATGGCTGCTTCCACAATGATTTCAAAGTGTAGAATCAATGCCTAGGAGATCCATGAGGCAAGGCTGCCCAATGCAACCCCGTGGGTGAGACCTCCGCATGTGGGTGATGCTACCACAGAGAACCACACCATGGGCAGTGCCCCTCTGAGTCATGGGGGTTATGTTGCCACCCTAGGGATCCAGAAGTGGGAATTCCACCCCAGTGGACCTGAAAGGCAGAGAATCAATTGAACTAGAGCTAGGATTATTCCTGAGACTGAAAGTTTAATGAGGTTTGCCCTGTAAGATTTTGAACTTATGTGAGATCTAGCATCACTTTCTTTTTTCCTCTTGCTCCCTTTTGGAATGTGAATGTCCCATCATTGTATTTTGGAAGCATATAACTTGTTTGGTTTCAAAGGTTCACAGCTGGAGAAGAATTTTGCCTCAAGATGAATAGTGAGTCTTACCTTCATTTAGTTTATGTAATATTTAGGTGAGACTCTGGACTTTAGACTTCAGAGTTGATGTTAGACTAAGACAAGACTTTGGGGGCTCTTAGGATAGATGTGATTTGTATGCGAGAAGGACATAAATTTTGAGGGACTAGAAGTGGAATGTTATGGACTGAATTTCTGTATTCCTTCAAAATTCATATCTTGAATTCTTAACCCCCAAGATAATGGTATTGAGAGGTAGAGCCTTCAGGAGGTAATTAGGGCATCAGGGTGGAGCCCTCATAAAGGGATTAGTGCCCTTAATAAAAGAGATGCTAGAGCTCTCTTTCTCTTTCTGCATTGTGTGGATACAAGGAGAAGATGACCATCTGCTAAACAGAAAAAAGATCCTCATCAGATTCCAGATCTGGTGGCACCTTGATCTTGGGCTTTCTAGCCTCCAGAACTGTGAGAAATAAACATTTGTTGTTGAAATCACTCAGTACATGGTACTCTGGAATAACAGCCAGAACTGGCAAAAACAGTGTTCATGTAACTTTGAATGAAGGATTCCAATAAATATTAATACGAACAGTAAGTTATACATGTTCTCGAGCTACTTCCTGAGATTTAACTATATGTATTCACTTGCATTAAGATTACCACTGCATATTTGATCTATTTTATCACTACTTACCACATGACATAAAAATTTTAGAAGATATTAGTCTATTTCTCTCTATATCAATAGAGTGTTTTTGATGTAAAAACCTACTTAACACTTTCTTTTAGTCCTTGCATACTAACCCCTCAACCCTTTGGGGATGGAATATTCAGAGCAAATCTTATCTTTGTTTTTTTTTGTTTGTTTGTTTGTTTGTTTCCCAACAGTTGTAGGGATGTGGTGTAAATTTAAGCATACAACAAAATGAATGAGAACAAGCCTCAAAACAATATTGCAGAATTGATGTATAAGTGAGGAAAACAGAAATCCTATTATACCTTGATGGCGCTAGTGGAATTTATGCATTGAGAGAGAGACAGAGAGAGAAGGAAGGAGATGAGCAGGAGGCAGCTCCTTGCAAAGTGTGGGCTTTGAGTAATAACTCATTTCAGCCAAGGACTGACTCAAACTGTGCTTTCACTCACTCCACCTCAAACCCAGAAGACACAATTGTCACAGTGAAAAAAAATGACCTCTATATAGCAAATGGTGAAATCAACTTTTTCAAACACTACTTTGGAAAGGAAACGAAATTTTGCAGTAATTGTAAAAGTTATTAATGTCTATAATACTCTACACACTGTGAAAGTATCTTAATATCATTAATCATGAGAACCATTTCTTTGAGGCTATATGTTAAATCCGTTGAATAAATAAAACATTGTGATTTGTTAGCTTGCATGCTGTGTCCAACCTCAGGCCCTAGTAAACACTGGTGCCAGGATTGGTAGTGGGTGCTCTTGTTCAATTCCTGTGCCATTCCCTTTGTTCTTAGGTAACATCATTACGTTATAAAGCATCATAGGCTATAACTAAGTCACCATGCAGGTTTTGTCAGAGAGTTGGGTTTTTTTGTTTGTTTAGTTTGTTTTTGTTTTGTTTCTGACACATAGCAAAGAAAATGTTTATTTTGCTCACCTAACGGCACTGCTGCCCACGTCGAGGTCTTGGGCAGTGACAGCGCCAATGATCGTCCCCACGGGGGTGTCTTCGTAAACTTCCATGGTGTAGAGTGGTTTGCTGAAAACCGGCGGCTCGTCCACGTCCAGCACGCTGATCTTCACCGTGGCCGTGTCTTTAAACGGGCCAGCGGAGTGAAAGCGGTGGTCCAGGTGCAGGTTGGAGGCCTCTACTTTAAAAGTATATGCCTTCTTTGTTTCAAAATCTAACGGCTGTGGCGGGGACAAATGAAAAACGAAGGAGTGCATTTATATAAAATGTGGCAAAAAAAAAAGAAAAAGGTGAACATTACTTCACAGCAACTTGCAAGTATTATAGAACCAATTGTACTGGTTTCAAATTTTCATTTTCCTTTGTAATTGGTGGGTAAGGGAATTAAGTGCAAGGCAAACATTTTAAAAAATAAGTTACCCACGTGTAGAAGTTTCTGAGTAACTTGTAAAGATAATCAGTTGCATACATTAAAATCAACGTGATAGACACGTGTGCTAGTTAGGGCTTATTCATCTCATATGAGAAAAGTTAAAACACCAAGAAAGCAAACGTGAAGCATTTCTCTGCTCTTATCCAATACTGACATCTAGTGGAGCTAAGTAATGATAAACCAAAAAAACAACAAAAGTGAAATTTGGATAATTGAAAATACTCTTTAGATTCCAGCTGCAAATTTGGTATGAAAACATATGAGATTTTTATGGGGTTGCTTTTCTTATTTTAACAATAATGTAATTTTTCTATTAAATACTTTTGAATGTCTAGGTCTTTTCATTAAAAAAGGTCTGTATCAAGATTTAAATGCACACACAGTGGTAGTTATGAGAAGAGTTTTGGTTTTCTGTTTCCAGAACTGTATATACATTTGGCGGCATTGTAATGCATTGCCAGTTGACAGCACCAAGAATTATGGCTTTCAACATATATGATCAAAGTAAACAAGTCCATGAAACATGACATAGGAAGTCATTTTCCATGAAGTCACTGATGCTCAATTTTAGCTCACCACTGCTTACATTCACTCTCACTGTGAAATTAGTTTTAGGTTCCCAATAACTGAAAATATTATATTCCCAAAATATGGTGCTACTGTGGTGCTTAGTTTAAGTGTTAAATTTAAGGTCAATGGCTCTGACTTCTAATTACCTAAGAAAGACTAAGACAACATGAATTTAACAGTAACATAATGATTTTCTGGGGCCTTTAAAAGTTTGTTTTCTAAAGTAATTCCCTCCAGTGTTACTCCAATTACCAGCTAATTGCTGTGTCAACGCTTGTTCCTTTACTCAATACACCTGAGGAAAATAAAGGATGTATATTTTTCTCCTGTAAAGACAGGATTGCTGTTTTATGCATTTCCTTTGAAGGGGAAAAGAAAAGAAAAAAATTGTGAAATCCTCAAAAACTCTCATAATTCCATGGAATTTATTATATATAGGAAAACAATAGTACCACTTGGATAGGACATTGAGTCCCTTTCAGTATTTCTTTCATTCAAGAGAACCTATATTTATTTCCCCTGTAATTATTCCCTTTATTTAATCTAAATCATCACATTTTGATTTCTGTTTTTATCTGTTTTGTATTCAATGCTATCTTTAACTTTCTATATTTTTATTTACTCTCTTCACACCTGTTAACATATAATATCGATTTCCTTTAATTTCTATTTTTGTCTTGTTATGTAAGTAAAAAAAAAAAAAAACAATGCAAGTAAAGAATAGAATGCTTGCTATGCCATGGTTGGTAATATGAGCATTGGTTACGTGAATAGAAATGTAATGTTTAGAAAAAGAGAGCTCTAGTCAATAATGCTCTTTTGATCAGCCCAACACTTGGCTACTATGTTTTTTTTAAAGAAATCAGACTTAAGAAAAGACAATCAATTGCCAGAATAGGATGGCAAAACGTTATTCAAGGCAAAAATAAGAAACCACTAAAACTGAGAATGTCTAGATTGGAATGAAGAAGACCAAGGCAAAACAGGGCATGTTTTCAATATCTGAATGGCCGTCATATTGAATATTAGTTAGCCTTATTCTATGAGTCTCTTAGGATGAATTAATAATAAGCTATTAAAAAGAGTAACACTAGGTTAGAAAAAGAACATTGAATTTATTTGTTTATACATCTTGGTACCTTATATGTTGGCAAAGCCTGAGATACATCCTAGGAGAATAGATAGAAAGATGCAAAGACAAACACAGCTTTCTTTCTTGATCTATTCAGCAAATTAAAGAATAGCGGCATCTTGTTTAATCAATAACTTGGACGAAGTATCAAGTTCTCCATAACTGGCTGTGTTTAACAGAAATCAAATATGTTAGGAGATGTCTGAGAGAGGGTAATGTATAAGATATAACGGTGCACTAACTAAATTAAAGAACACATAAAATATATTTTCTGCTTTTGTAAACTCTAAAGGCTCTATAAGTGTTACACAATATAAATTTTCTATGATAATAATCCCTAACTTCTAGTATGAGGCTATTCTTATTTTATCACTGTAGGGGTCCTTTTGCTTAGAAAACAAATTAAGCTTCCCTGGCTCATGCTAACTTTCCTTTTTGAGCCTAGAATTAACTTCTATCTTAGAATATAGGAGTTAGTACTCATTTCTGTCTTTATTTTCTCCTATATGTTGAAAAGGCCTCTGATTATCTATATGATAAGGCAAATTCTTTCTAGGGAAGATCTTTATTTTTTTTTCCCTAATTACACACTGCAACTTGATTACACACTGCAACTATCTGGATGAACTTGACTCCCTACTGGTAAGTCCATTTCAAGCCAGAGATGAAAGGAGAATTCTGAAATGTTTTCCTTTTTTTTTTTTTTTTTTTAAGGAGATCAGACAGAGTTTATGTCTTCTAAGAACTCCCGACCTATCACAGCAGGCAAATATTTGGTGTCAGAGAGATAGAGAGTGAGATAAAAGAAGGTTTCTGTACATACAGATTTTTTGCAACTGAAAACTTACATCCTGCTGTGATCAAAGAACTAGAGAAAATGCTACAATAATATCCTAGGTGGACTTACTTCTTCATGAACCTGACCCTTAGGCAATCCCACTTTACAAAGCAGTATATAATTCAGAAAGACCAAAGAAAATCAACGGTGATCTCTCTCTAGTTGATTTTACCCACCCATATGATTGACTGCCCTCCACTTTCTTGGAGAATAAACTTTTACTTTACAATGAATGAAAATTCTAGCATTTGAAATAGGTATAGAACAAACACTATTTCTTTTAAACATTAGGAAATGAATCATATTTTATAATTGAAATACATTATTATGAAGTTGAACCAATTTAGCTCTTACACAATAAATAGAAAACTCTGTGGCATTGCTTGGGGCCCATTCAATTTTACAAACCTTTCCAGATAGGTAAGGGAATTATTGACTAAAGATAATTTGGTTGAACAGTTCCTTGGTCTTCAAGGTGTTTCTATAAAGGAAAATTAGTGAGACCAGAAATTTCAGGAAACAATTCTCACTGTGGAGAGTTGTGCAGTGGAAAACCACAACTATGAAGAAATGGAATAGGACATATTAATATTTAATTGTTCTCTGGAATATAAAGGGAAGAATTCAGGATATCACCGTTTTGCTCCATTATTTGTTCTTACTTTGCTGAAGTCCAGGTCATGAAAATCTACATAAAATGCTAAATGCCAAATGATTTCCTCATTTCAAAGTGAGACAAACAACTTTTTGGCATAAAATAAAAAAGAATAACTCCTTTAGCTCTTCCAGGCCTTGTCATGCTTCTAGACAATGTTGGGTGGAAATGGGTAGCTACAGTTAAAGACATTTTGAGGACTCTGAGGCACAGCTGCTGTGACAGGCATTTGCCCCCACGACTGCTGCCCCCAGTGACCCCAGCCTTGTATGAAAGACTCTGCCCTTGAGTGTGTGAGGGGCCTGTGAACTGAGTGGCATATTACTCCCATGAACTTGTTAAGTTTTACGGAAAAATAAATGATGCAGATATAATTAAGGCCCTTGATCACTTGACATTGAATCAATTACGAGAGATTTTACTTCAGGGGTCTGACCTAATCAGAAGAGGAAAGAGCTGATACAGATGATTTCCTCCTGGCCTTAAAAAAAGTAAACTTGTGAGCATAGGAGTCTAAGGGGTGTCTGTGGGAATTGAGGCCTGGTCGTGGCCAAGAGGTAATAAAAAGAGTCCTAAAAAGCCTCAAGAAACCAGCCACAAGAAACTGGTTCTGCCAGCAACCTTAAACATGGGAAATGACTCTAAACCTCACGTCGGATTTCAGCCCCAATCTAAGCCTTGATTTCGGCCACAAAGGTCCTGAGCAAGGGACCTAGTTATACTATATTCTGGCCCACTGAAGCTGTGGTTTCAATCCTCTTTACTTTTACTGTTCTATATTACTTCAATTTTCCTAATGAACATGTATTATTTTCACTGACACAGTAAAGCCATCAATCTTAAAAAATATATATATATATTCTTTAGTAGTAAGACATTGCTCTCTCAGTCGTCTAGCAGGACTTCATAGGTAATAGCAAGGAAAACTGTCAATGAACCCAGATGGGGGATCAAAGAATATAGGTTTATCTGAAACAGACTGGAGTTAGAAGACAAGCAGTTAGAAAAAAAATTCATACCAGGATGAACCAGGATGAATAGACACTAGGAACAAGTTCTTATAAGATAGGTTTATTACACGAGGCTGAACAATAAAGATAAGACATTCAGAACAAGCATCATTTTAACAAAAACAAGTTTCCCCAAACTTAGTTTTGTGATGAATATAGTAGTAAATTCTTGTCCAGGAGGCTATGTGGGAGTTTGTGTACATCTCATCACCATTGAGGAAAGGATTCAACTCTATATGTTACTAAAAATATTCAGTTATTTGATGCATAAAAATTATCACTATAGTAGGAAAGAATGTTTCCATAACAAAGTAGAAAACAAACGAAATATGGTCATTTTTAAAAACTAGATTTTAGTTTGGACAAAATTTCGACAGTATTTGTTGTAAAATTTTTAGAAATATAGAAGCTTAAAAGAAAAATGGAATTACCAGGCAAAAAGTGTTTCTTCAAATAAAAGCATTTAAATGAAGAGATAAATTTCATACAACATATCTCAAAAAATTGTAACAATTATTTATTATAATATAAATGAACTTCATTTTTCTGTGAACAAGTTACTACTATACTTGCTACGACACTAGAAAATTTTGCTTGTTTAACAAATTAACTTAAGAATCATGTGCATTATTTTAATGCCTATATTTTAGTGACAACAATTTTTGGAACAAATTCATTAATTAAGATGAAGAAATAAAAAAAGAAAGCAGAACATAAACAGAATTGCAAGAACCTTTAGTTGTTTTAGTTACAGGTTTTCAGTGATATTTTCCCTAAAAAATAACAGAATATTTCATCAACTATTATAAATGCTCAAGTTAAATATATGTCCTATACACACACAGTATAAATCATGACCATCAGCGGAGGCCAATCATCTTTTCTAACACACATCATTCTTCACAATAGTTGAAAATATAAGCGTTCCAAATATAATTTAGAGCAAGCTGTGTGATTTTTGAAAAAATATCCCTTTCTTCTCTGAGCTTCGGATTTCCTATTTGTAAAAGGAGTGAAATATTTTTCTAAGTACTTTGCAATATATATCAAACTTTACATAGTATATGAGTAAAAAGAAAAATAATGCATCAGAAATGAAAACCGTAAACTAACCTAAGATAGTTGTTCTTTTAGTCAACGAAAGAGCACCCTATATATGTCACGCATTCCCTTTAATAATGGGGACACGCACATAGATATGATAAAGTGCCTCTAGGAGGTTAAAATATAGTAGGAGGAATTGGTTGTGTTTTAAACATAAGTGCCACATAATTATCGTAAGTGCTTTGACAACAATGTCGACATTTTGGTAAGAAAGTAAAGAGTGATAAATTTTGTCTGAGGGACTCAAGGGAGCCTTTGGTGAGAGGCAAGGGAGACAAATGTTAAAGCACAAGAAAGAATTAATAAGATACTCATATGGGGCAGAGTCTTCTATAAAGTAGAAGGAGAAACACACCTTTGGTAGACGTTGCAATGAATTTGGTGTAGTTGGAATATAGCCTGTGTGTGCATGCGTGCGTGCATGTGTGTATGTGTGTGCAGAGATGGATATGCTGTTTGTGCAGTATCATACATACTAGCAATGAGGTCCAGAAAAGGATTTAAGTAAGATGAACAGATTTAGGCTTCTACCATTTTCTCATGGAGGAAAGGATGTGTTGGAGGAAGGTAAGGTGTGAGATGGAAGAACAGCCATTACAGTTGTGGAAAGAAGGAAAGAAGAGAGCTGTAAGACAACTCAGGAGGAGGGGAAAATTTAAAGCAAGTTTGGGAGAAATCAGTGACCAGGCTTTGTGTCCTATTTAGCAAAGGGAGGTCAATGGGAATGGAAGTAACATAGGAAAAATCATAGAGTTCTGGTTTCTTAAGGAACTGACAAGGAGAAAATATGAGCAGGGGTACTTTTGTTGGGAGCAGAGAGGGAACTTGGCTCTGGACAATTTGAGTTTGAAAGAGCATGAAATGTGTAGTTGGAAATGTATACAAACAATAGAAAAATCTACACTAGTTAATTCAGAATTGATGGAATTGTTTAGGGGAATTAGGTAAGGTATTTGAAAAAGAAGGGGAAGAGAAATAACAAAACAGAAACATAGTATTTATGGCAGCGAAAAAAGAACACTATGTATTTTTTATTTGAAATCAGGCATGTCAGAATGGCTGAAAACTTAATACAATTAAAATGGTATTTTAAACTTAATAAATTGAGCGTGTGTTTGACTATGTAAAATATTCCAAATTTTATTTTCATTTTGTTCCTATGAGTTATTTAAAAATCAGCCACAGGATGGTGCTATGCTACTGAATCATATGATGTGGAATCCCTTCCTAGTCATTTAAGACTGAAGAAAGAAAATGAGTTTTACTGATTGACCTTATAAATAGGAAACAAATGCCCAGTAAAGTAAGTTGAAGGAGACCTTAACCTATTTGTGAAAGGGTCGCTCGCTGTGAAGAGTAGTATCATTTATCTCTTATGCTTTTAAGGAAAAGAAAATTCTGCTATGGATTTAACATGATAACACAGTCATGTTAATCCGAAATGAACAAATACTGTCAAGTAACATAGAAATGGTGATTTTTTTAATTCCAAAAAACTTTTACTTTTAAAAAAATAGGAAATAAGTTTATTATTCTTCATTTTAAGCAGTCCCTAACAGATATTTTTGTAGAAATGGTACAGAACTGTTTGAGAAACTATGCAGGATAGCAAAATTGTCCTTTTGTATAATTTAAGTATTTACCCTACCATTTTAATTACCTAAATATCTTAATCAGTGACAAGAAAACCTACATGCTTCTATAAACATACTTGTATTTTCAGTCCTTGAAAGCTTTTAACTCATGTAATTTTATATAAAATAAGTGTATATTTTATTCTCATTTATCTACTAGGAAAAAACACTATTAACTGAAAACATATCTTATTTAATTTTCACTAATGAAACTTTTTCATTTAAAACATCTTATTCTCTCATTATAATTGTAGCCATCTAATTTTTAGAAGAGATTGAAATTTTAATATTTTATTTTTATTTTGTTAGTATATTATTGCTGTAATGCTCAATAACATATAGGACAATTTTTTAATACTTTGCTCAGTGAGGTAGGATGTGAGGGTAGAGTGAAAATAGTTTTATTTTGCTTTGTCTTGTTTTATTTTTTACCAATATCTTGTGCCTTCGATAAATTTATAAAGTTTTACAATGTTCCTCTGAATTCAAAGTGTCACAGTAAAATGGCATTCTGTCACAGTGCTCATAAAGTGGATCAAAGTTGAGGTTGAAAAAATGAATAAAAATGTCTTTCTTCATTCTTCTCAGTTTATGTAAACCTTACCATCATTTTTATACACTTTCATCCTCCTTCCACACAGGAAGTAGAGAGAACAGAAAACAGTAAAAGGGAAGCAAATAAAATATTTTGAAGATAAAATAGCAATAACAATATTGCTTCAGAGCATTAATGTATTTTTGCATTTAATATATTTTTCAGTGAGTTAAAAAGAGAAAAACTCTCTGAAAACAATATCACGCTTCATTTCTCCACAGCAGCTCAAAATCTGTTAGCCACAAAATTAAAATAACTTATGTTCTTTAAAAGGTTACATATTATTCAAATGTAGAATACATATTGTTGGACTTTCTAAATACATTTAGTATCCTTAAGAACATAATTCCTTTATGAATTTGGTTTTATATAAAAAATTTTTGCATTGCAATTCTCTGCTGCAATATTGAAGAGAAAATTTTCAAAAAATAACATTAAGATCATTACAGAACTGGAAAGCTACTCTTGATGTTTACATACAAATTATTTTCCTAATTCTTCAAGAGCTCCTATTGATAAATAAGTACAAGATAACATTTTTCTGAGAACTAAATAAATTTAAATCCTATCATAGTCTTCACCCCAAAAAATTGTGTACTTAAAGAACTGCAGGTTTTTAAAAATTTATTTTGAATTGTTATAGGCTTTATTCAAATGGGTATTATCTTATTTTTTATGGAATAATACTATCATGCTTAATCAAGTAATATATCTATGTGTATGTGTGTATACACAAACACATTCACACAATGAAATATATATGATAGACAGGTTTTAAATTTTGTAACAAAAATGTTGTCCTGAGTCCTTTTTTTTTAAAGATTGAATAGATGTAGTCTACAGGTTGCCATTTTCATTTCCAATAGAACAATAGGTTAGTGGGTAGGGATTGTCTCTGGTGGGTCCTTAGAGATGAAAGCAAATTACAACACTGAAAGTAAATCCATGTGTTTTATTAAGCTCTCTAACTACTCAAGTGCTTGGTGTAATTTACAAGATGATCATGCTATTTATAAAACCATGTTTTGGCTGTTCCTTATGATTCAGCCAGAATCTCACCATTTCTCATAATCTCCTTTGTTATATCATCATTATCCACATCTCCATCAGAATCTTGGATTATTTCTATAGGCTTTTATTTATAACTGGGCTGTTCTACCCTTACTTCTCTTAATTCTCCTCAGAGCAGCTAGAGTAACCTGGCTTTAATAAAGATGATTTAGATCTAAACTCACCACTGGCAGCTGTAGTGTAATCTAAATCAAAGATCTGGCCTGGCCTACAAGGTTGGCGCTTCTGCTATATCATCGGCCCCATCTCCAGGCCCATTCATCCACTGCACTCCAGCCCCACCAGCTTCCTTGTCAGTACACTCCCAATGCAGAGATTTTGCAACTGCTGCTCAATCTTTTTGTAACATATGCCACCCAGATACCACGTGGTTCATCTCTCACTTCCTTCAGGTCTCAGCTTAAATTTCACCTTAATAGAGAAGGTTTTTCTGATAAACTCACTAAAAGATACTCTCCAACTTCACATTCCTTTTATTCCTTTACCCTGTTTTATATCTTTCGAGCTTGAATTTATCACTGCTGACAGTGATTTTTAATTTATCATCTGACTTCCTCAATTAAATAGAAGTTATTTGAGTTCAAGTAATGTGCCTATTTTGTTCACTACTCTATCTCTCAATTCCAGAGGGACACAGTGGCTGCACCAAAAATATCCAGGTCTGGGACACAGTGGCTGCACCGAAAATATCTGTTAAATGAAGGAGTAAAAGTTATGGACACTGAGCTGTATTTAGATAATATGTTTTATGCCAGTAAAATGGACAATAATTTATCTGCTATGAAAGGAATTTTTTATTTTAATTTGGAGATATACTGTACTTGCCAGATTATTTACATTATCTAAATCAATTTTAATAAAGGTTTCATAATTTTGCAAATCTCAATTAAGAAATTAATCCAATCCAGTTAAGGAATATAAAAAATGTTAATTGTTATTTTCAAGTTTCATTTTTTTCTATTCTTTATTATTGGGTAGTCAACTGTCCAAAAATTTGTCTATGTACCTTTTTCAATTTGATGACTCCTTCTTGTGTATCCTCATCTGTGACAATGTCAAACAAGTTTCCTCCATCTCCTGGAACAATATTGTATTCAATTTCTGCATTTTGTCCAAAATCAGGATCCACAGCTCTTATTCTTCCAATAGCTGAGCCAATAGGAGAAGACTCGGGAACTTTCAGATGGAAGATGCCTGATAAAACATATAATTTACATTGACAGTGGAGTTAGTAATGCATATAGAAAGATTACCAGGCTTGAAAAATATAGTCTATAGAAAGTAAATCAAGTTTAAAATATTGCCAAATGAAAAGGCAATTTGCTGTGTCAAGTTAAGGATTATGATTAGAAGTAATAACTTCACCTTTCACTTCAAAAGGTCCTTCTCTAGAATTAATTGGGCATTATTGGCTGGTGCAATGGTTCACACCTGTAATCCTAGCACTCTGAGAGGCTGAGGCAGGAGGATTGCTTGAGCTCAGGAGTTCAAGACCAGCCTAAACAAGAGTGAGACCCCATCTTTACTAAAAATAGAAAAAATTAGCCGGGCATGGTGGTTCATGCCTGTAGTCCCAGCTACCTGGGAGGCTGAGGCAAGAGGATTGCTTGAGCCCAGGAGTTTGAGGTTGCTGTGAGCTAGGCTGACAGCATGGCACTCTAGCCCTAACAACAGAGTGAGACTCTGTCTCAGAAAAAATAAGAAATAAAATAGAATTTTAATTGGGCATTATAAATAGCAGAATGTGTTAAATTAAAATTGCTGTGAGGAAATATTTTACATTCTAACAGCATCAAAGTCTACCAAATACCAAATGGGAGGGTGGGACTATATGTTGCTACCAGTACAACAGAATCCAGAATGAAAGACATAGATAAAAAGATATAGATGAATAGCTAATTAGATATTTATAGAAAATTAAAGTTATGTTTCCTAAAACTAATTACTTCAATGAGTATAAATGAATCTAAAAAATGACCTGTAAAATGGTAATCTGTAGAGTTAACCAAAATTCTAAACAATAAAAGATTTAAATATAGAATATTATAGATGAAGATCAGCTTATTTATGTTCAGTAAATTTTATCTTGGAAACTTGCTAAATACTTTTACTCATATTTAAAATCCAATCATAAAGTTCTATCTCCCAACTTATTTTAAGCATTAAAAGAGAAAAAAGTGAAATGCTTATTTCTGCCACCAGGAGGAGCACTTATATTCCTATAAAGTTGACTCAGCAAAATCTAGAAAAATCCTTACCTATATAAAAACAGTCCAGAATCATGAGAAATTGTAATAGCCCACAAAAATGAAAATGTAGACATAGTTTAAAAGTTTTATAGAAAAATTTTTAAAGTATGACATACAAAAAAGATATAGTGTATATTATTGTACTGACATCTCATTGAAGGAGATATAAATGAGTTAAACAACAGTGCATTCAAATTAAAATGAGGAAGAGAATGTGAGGAACTAAAAATGCAGAAGCAAAACTCAACACAAAAATCTAAAGTTTCCAGTTTGATATTGGAGTTTCAGTTTCAATTTCTGTTAATGAATTTTGAATGACATTTTCCCATGGGTAAAGAAAGCTACCTTGGGGATTAATTTGTTCTAGAATTCTAGTTACATTTGTAGAAATTAAGAAGCCATTCAACATGTTTATTGCATGGTAAAGTTCATCTACCAAATCACCTTACAACATAAATGTCATTTGTTTCAAGAAATTATGAGGAAAAAATATAAATCACACCTTGTGGAGCTTCTGGCAGATACTCTCTTTTTTATTCTTAATTATTTTTTGAATTCCTGCGGTTCTTTCACAATCAGTTTCAAAATTTAGTAATCACCATTATTTACATGTAATGGATATTACCTCAATAGAACATATATTTGATTTGGTCTCAAAAGAACTACATTTTCAACTAAAACTTGTTTATTTTATGTGCAAGACAAAATGATATTTTACAGTGGTCCCAAATAATTATGTTTAAATAATTAGCTTAATTATTAATCTACCTTCAAAGGGGATATGAGGTATCTTTCTAAAATAATACACTTAAAAATTTAAATAAATAAGTAAACAAATAAATAAACATTATAGACCAAAAAAAGCTTAAAAACTCCAAGTGGCGATGCTGAAGTGTTGTATATACATTATGAAGAAATCCTGGTTAAGGAAAGTCATATTAATTGATCAAACCAGCAACTTCTCATACTCTATTATTACTGTGTTTCACTAGGTTTTATTCCCTAAACATTTAACATAGTGGCTATCATACAGAGATGCTTAATATTTACTGAACTTAGAACAGGATCTGAACTTGAGGCAACTAGATCAAAGAGGAAAACCAAATAGGTTACATTGTATTTCCATTGTTTACAGTAGGGTAAGGACAGCTATTCCAGGGGAATTGATTTCAAATAGAAATTACATAAACAGAACATAATGTGGCTTTTGTAACCTACTGTCATTAGTGTGTAAGTGTTTCATAATAGATAAACTGCTGATCCTAGTGAGGCATTCCTGAGATAATAGCAAATATGAGAATGCCTGAATTTCTGTTTAATGTGGCAAGAAAACATGTGACACAGTTATTAAAGTTGTGCCAAACTTCTCAGGGGCAAATTCCGAAGCAAAAGGACAAAGCACAGAACATGTGAGTGATTTTTCATTTCCTTTTATTCTTTTTAAATGCCTGTTAAATGGAAATATGATTTATCAGAAACCGTGTCTATATTCTTTGCCTCTTGTGTGATTATAACACAGAACCTGACAAAGCACCAAAAGCTTTGAATCAAAGGAATGAGTGGTCCTAGTCCAATCTCATGATCCATCGATAAATGCTAGAAAAAGTCTTGAATTTTTCCTTACAAAACAGAAGAGTGAAGGTGTATATTACATATTGTACTATAAATCCTCCTCTATCAGAATATGTGGTTAGGGAACTTATGACTAAAAATCATTAAGGAAATAGCTGGTAGAGATTTGAGATAGAGGGAGCTATAAAGTGTAGTGGATTTCAAACTTCAAATATGGCCAGCATATTTGGTAGCAAGGGTGGGTAGTGGGGATAAGGGGGGAAGAGTTGCATGGGACCTTTAGGAAACCATGGAAATCTAACTTAAAGGGTTCTGGATAGTTGTGGTTTATGAGTTAACTTTCTATTTGTACAGTTAAAAGCAACAATAAAAGTATTACAAATCAAGGGCAATAATATAGTCTGGAGTCATCTCTAAGGGATTATGATTAGTGAAGGTGAAGAGTTCAGCCAGGACTGAGATCCTCCAATGTGAGGGGGAAAAAAAATTTAGAACTCCGAGAGATGATCCATAGGGAACCATTTAATGCAGACTATAGATGAAAGAGCCCCCTTTTCAAGACAATATGCTGAGATATGAATTTTATGTCATTTTATGGGGCCAATAACAATGAATGTGAAGACACTATTCTTTATAGTACTCTATCAATATAAGTTAAATAGCAGTTTAAAAAAATGTCAGTCAATAGTATACCTACAAATTCCATTATCTAATAGCATTGGAAAATTTGTGATAAATTGAAATAGTAGTATTGTCCAAAAATGATTAACTTAATAGCATTCCTCCTAACATGCACCTCTCAAAATTAATATATAATAGAAGTAAATCCAATGATTCACTATTTGCAATTTTGTGCATGAAATTTTAGTGCATGTAAAACACAAATATACAGAGCAGTGGAATTTCTGTTCTATACATAGCAGACATACATTTTAGTAAGGTGGAAGACACGTTCATTAAGACAAGTATTTCTCAATAAAATATTACGGCTGGTAATAAAGTCTACAGAATATGGAACAAGTCAGAGTAACTATGCGTTAGTCATGTCAGATTGTTTAGGTTCTGTCGTTTTATTTCCAATGACTTGACATTTTATCATTTCTAGAATCTCAACAGCAACAAAGCTGAGGTCATTCAGATTAATTCAAAACTGTGAAGTAATCTTCAGCTGTGCCAAAGTGGGATCATTCGTGATGTACTATGTAATTACACTGCCATCATCTTCTAGGTGTCCTACTTTTGACGCCTATGAAACATCTTAATGGCACTACTTGTACAACACAGAGTGAGAAATAAAACAGGTGACAAGAAATTGTCCACAGAATCAATAAAATATATGTTTACATATTCATCCAATATACACACTATGCTTAACAAAAATCTCTATTTTGCCATGGAAAAGGAGGAAATTGCATGTGGTGAGCAAATTTAGTGATCACACTGCATACCTTCTTAGATATAATGTTCCCTGCTAATTCCAAAAGTAAAAAAATAATAATATTTTAGTTATAAGCTAAATAAGCATCCTTTCAATAACTATGTCATTTGAAAACTTGCACTTATATTTTGATTTTATTAGGACTTACACCATGTATAGGGGGTTGGAAGCATCCATTGCTATCTAGGAGCAAAGAATATAAAATACATTTTTCCTCTTTTTTTTGTTGAGAAAATTTCCAAGTATTTATGAAAACACCAAAAGAAATATATTTACTTAAAATACAAATTAATATGTTTACTCAGAAGTAAGCACTATAGGACTTAAGTGAATAAATGTATTAAGTGAATGAATGAATTATAAAATACCATAATAACATTCAGCAATACAAATAGCAAGTAAAACAAAACATGGAATAACCCATTACAAATTCACTTTTGAAATGCATTTTATTTTATGTTTATAGTAAGAAGTCTAAAGTTACTAAAAAGAAAATTAAGAAGTCAATGTGCAACTTCCCATAAAACCTATCTATACAAGTAGCTAATGTGAACCTGATTACTATTTAAAAATATTAAAAAACTAGAACAATTGGAAGGCTGAAAAACAAATTATTTCAAATTGATAAGAATGTTAAACATGGTAAAGAACTCAGCAACACATATTTGAGACCAACTAAATAAACCACCACTTAAAGATTTACATTTAGTTTTAAACTTCAGAAAATCAATATATATATAGCCACAAACTGTTGATTCAGTGATTGAATTCAGACATTGACTTGTTCAAATAGCGATCCCGCATGTTTTTTGGTGTGTATGATTTACCGTCTACAGGCATAGAAATAAAATGCTGTTTTTTTCAGTATTTTATTTTTTTAACTTCTTAAACAAATATAATTGTCACACAAATTTATTTCACCTTATCTAAGGAAC